GAGGACCAGAGTTCAGTTCACACATACATACACACTATTAAAAAATACAATACATCTTAAAAAAAACAAGTCAGGTGTGGTGAGACATGCCTTTATTCCAGTACTCAGGAGGCAGAAGAAGGTGGATATGTAGGCCAGCCTGATCTACATATCAAGTTCCATGCCAGCCAGGGATACACAGTGAGACTATTTTTAAAAATATAACACTAAAACAAATAAGGAAATGAAGGCTCAGAGAGCTTTGGCAATTTTCTTAAAGCCATCAGCGAGGCTCAGCCAGGAGCTGACCTTGGGTTTACCTGGCGACAAATGCCTGTCCAACAATGATCTGTCTCTGTCACTTTCCTAGTCAGGTTTTGACACAGGATCCCTTGTAGCCCAGGCTGGCCTCACATTTGCTTGTAAACAGGACGACCTCAAACTACTGCCCTTCCTGACTCTACCACCTGAGTGCTGGAGTTATAGCCAATGCCACGGCCTTTCAGAGCACCACACACCTGTACATCACGGTATGACAGCAACAGATTCATGATGATATCCGGGCTCAACAGCTCTACACTGTCCAGCCTCCTCTGCAGACGAGCCAGCTCCTGCCTCAGCTGCTGCCCACTGAACCGCTCCCGAGCCTGCCGGATATCCTGCCGAATGGTCTCCCGGAAATAGCCGCTGATGCCCAAGGCCGGGGAAGGGAGGGAGAGAGAATGATGGGTCTGTCCCTCAGCCCTAGCCCACTTTACCCTCATCAGCCTCTTCCTGGGGCCCCCTCCTTGTCAGCCCCATTACCAAGAGTCTGTGGGTGTGGCCTCCAGCAGGCGGGCAAGCCGGCCCACCAGGGGAGTGAGCAGGGCCTCAGTGCCTGCCCCAGACTGTACTAGCCCATCAGCTATGCCCCTCAGGAGGCCTGCGTCACCACATAACACCCGGCCAGTGGCTGTCACCACATAAGGGATCAGTGTGTAGCTGCCGACGCAGTCCTGGTGGGAAGAAGGCAGCAATCAGTGGAGATCACCCACAGGTCAGCAGAGGGCTAGCATCCGCTCAGAGGTTAGTACTAAGGAATATAGGAATAGAAGAAAAGGACCACACTTTACGAGAGGATGTGACATGGAACAGAGGGTCACACGGATGTCAGAGATAAATGAAGAAGCTGGGAATATTAGTGGAGGTCAGAGGTCACAACACAGTATGAACGGTAAATTCTGCTCACCGAATTCTTCTGGAAAACATCCTCCTGCAGGAGGCAGACAATCAGATACTGGCATTCTGGGAAGACCATATACCCCCAATCCTACCTCTGTCCCCACCACCCATCTGGCCACTTACACGCAGGGCCTGCAGGTCGGGGAGCTCTGCCTGGGAACAGAGGAGCACGTTGTTGGTCATGCTGAAGCTCTCCCGCACGCCGAGGTGGTAGAACAGGGAGGGCTGTGCCAGGGAGTTGCTCACCTCCAACACCACCACATCTGTGGACACAGAGGTGTAGGCCTGAGTGCTGATGCACAGCACAGCTCCATGGGGAAGGAGCCTGGAGATGGAGGCCGCTTCAGCCGCCTTGCCTGCCCCTCCTGCTACGTTCAGCTCTACTCTAGAGAGCTTCCCAACGCTTTCACAATCCTTGTATTGCTGCTGTTACAGAAGATGCCCAAGGGCCCTCATCCCACTGAGAGCCTGGAAGCCCCAGAAAGGAGATGTATGAGGGTGCTCCAGCTCAGCAGTTCCGGGTTATGGAGGAGACAGGCACTTTGCAAATAGAAGTCCTATACTCTGGCTCCTCAACCTAGTCTCTGTCTGTCTCTCTCTCTCTCTAGTTCTCTCTGTGGTTTATTTCATTTATATACACGTGTGTGTCAGTGTGAGCGTATGACAGAAGAGGGTATTGGATCCTCTGGAGACGAGGTTATAGGTGGCTGTGAGCCACCCCATGTGTGTGCTAGGGACCTCGGATCCTTGGAAGAGCAGCTAGTGCTCTTAACTGCAGGGCCATCTCTCCATCCTTGAAGCCAGGGTGTGTAAAGACAATACTGTGCGTTTATGTGTGTTTGTGTAGCTTACTGAATCCAGCCATCTTTAAGTGACAGTGTCTGCAAGGGAGGGACTGTATGAGTCAACGCAGATGAGTCCACGACTGTATCTGTGATCTGCTCGGGTCAGCCTTCATTTTTAAGCTGGAGTTTCACAGATGTCCAGGAAACACGGTTCCCTGGCTCTGGGATGAACAAATGGATGGGTGGAGCATCCGGGTAGGTGGGAAGGAGAGGAATAGCCTTCTGACCTCGCCTCTGGCCGCCTCGTCCTTCCCCCCCCCATCAACCCCTGCCCCGCCCATTCTCTTCTAACTCCCAAGTCTCCAAAGAGATTCTCTCTCCTAGAATCCAGTCCCGACGAGTTGTCTCGGGACTTCCTTTCCCGCCTCTTTAGCCCGATCCTTGGATGTAGTAATGCTAGGACTTCTCAACCCCAACCTTGTAGAGACGGCCCCTTGCCCTAGACCAAGCACCATCTCAGGATTCACTTAAATACTACGTGAGATCATCGTGAAAACGCGTTCTTCGGCCTACGCAGAGAACCACAGCTCTGTCTCCTCCCTCAGCCCCGCCCCTAGAGCTCGCCTGCCCCGCCCCACTTGCGACCGGAGACTACTTAAACTCCCGCCCAGAAGCCGGGCCTGGACTCCCAAATCCAGGCTCGAGCCCCGCCACGTCCATAATCCATTAACCCACATCCATGCCCCTGTTGTTGTCACAGCCCCATCTCAAGTCCTGCTTTAGTTTACCATAGACGCCGTAGATGTGATACCCACGCCCGCCCCGTCAGGGGTCGCCGAGCTCCGCCCCCTTACCCCGCCCAAGCTCAAGCCCCGCCCCCCAGGGGCTCACCCGCGTTGTAGAAGGAGTCGAGCGCCGTGGTGTCACCTAGAGCCAGCGTCGCGAAGGGCAGGCTGCGCAGCTGCGGGGGTGGCCGCGTGCCCTGGAGCTGAGCGCAGGCCTCCCGCAGGCATCGCAGCGGCAGCGGCTCTGCCTCGGTTCCCGCGCCGGGCTCCACCCCGGGCCCGGGCTCCCGGGTCAGCACGTAGACCACACTGAGCGGCCGGCTCCGCGCGCAGCCCCGACCTGAGACCGCGGGGGATGAGCGGCCCCGGCTCAGCGCCTCCGCCAGAGGGTCCTGCCAGCAGCTGCCCGCGCGTTCTAGAACCCCGGCCCCGGGACACGGCCCCGCCATGCGGGGGCGCTCGGGCGCCAGGCGCCGGGCGCGAGGGACCCGGGACAGGGCACGAGGCTGGGGATGTGGATCCAGCCGGGATCCGGAGATGGGCTGGACGTCCTGTTCCGGAAATCTGAAATTCAGAGAGAAATCTTTGCTCAAACTTTCACGGTCCTTTCAGATCCGCAATACCGGACTGGGTTCTGGGAATCTAGAGGACCCAGTAATCCTCGGCTCACGGGTCACAGAAGGATCCTGGGAATTCAATCGGCAGTATGCGACACCCAGACTTCTCAAGGGAGTGCTGGCAGTCACTGCTCTGCCCTCACATGTAGGCTGGGCCCAGCCCTTTCCCGACTGGGAAAGCTCCACCCTCGGCCCTGGGGCAATGCGGCTCCCCAGCGACTCTCCCTCCCTCCTCTCCTGCTAGAACCTCTGACACTGTCCACTTCCGGAACAGCCTGTGCCCCTATTCGGGCCAAACTCTGTGGACTGCTCACTGCAGGCGCTCTTAAGATGTGTGACCCGGCCAGGGAGAGGCAACAAGAGGGCCATCGCCCTGCAGGGATCCGGTGAATGAATGGATCTCAGGACAAGGAGGGGGTGGGAAGGGGTGGGGCGGGGGTAAAACACTGTGACTAATAGGTGTCCCATGTAATGTTCATGCTGGTAGAGGGTTGATGTCTTGAACTTTGACGGGCTGCTTTCCCAAGAGCCTTGCTTGCAGAGAAGCTATGCTTACTTTAGGGTCTACCCAAAACTTGACCATGGGACTGAGGAGCACTTCCATTATAAACTTCTTAGCTTCTCTTTGAAGGGAACTTCAGAAGCTCCATCTTTTTGGGGTTATAAGAGCATCCCAGCTTCAAATTCACCAAGATCCTTTAACTTCCTAGTATGAATTAGTGACTAAGGAATGAGTTGGTATAAGCCTTAGGGGACCCTGAACTTGGGAACTGGGAACTTTGGGAATTTGAGGTTGATCCAAACTTAGGACTATGTGTCAGATTCTTAGGACCATGTTGCTGCCTCTGTTCTTAATGGCGGGGCTTGGCTGGAGAGAGAGCTGCTAAAAGCATCTGTTGCTTTGGTTCTCAGCGCTCACGTATATAAGGTGGCTCACAACCATCTGTAACTGTCGTTACATGCCCTCTCCTGACCTGAATAGACACTGCACACACGTGATGCACATGCATACTACAGGCAAAACACTCACACACGTAAAATAAATAAATCTAAAAACATTTAAAGAATATGTTGGGGCTTTGGACAAACAGACAAATAGTAGGAAGCCTCTGTTTCACAGCCCTGTTGCCTCATGGAAGAAAACCATGGCTTCCTTGGTTTGAGCCACTGGGACAGGCAAGAAGCAATAGAAAGGGAAAACTTGGCCTGTTTCAGAGCTTAGGGTGGAAAACACTTTACAAGAAACAAATGGGAGCCAGCGGTGGAGCTAGACTTTAATCCCACCCAGCACTCGGGAGGCAGAGGCAGGCAGATCTCTGAGTTGGAGGCCAGCCTGGTCTACAGATCCAGTTCCAGGACAGCCAAGGCTACACAGAGAAACTCTGTCTTGAAAACCAAACCAACAAACAGAAAACTACAACAGCAGTTCTTCCTTGCATAGAGCTGAAGCTAATGTTCCTGCTCTGTTTTCTGTGGTTTCTCCCTAGTAAGAAAAAGTCCTGAGAGCCAGGAAAGGGTTACAGTCTGGACCAGGAAGCAGTGGCGGTTGGCAATAAGGTCGCTAAGGCACGGAAGCTGTGAGGAGTGATAAGCGCACTGACAATCGGAGGACTCTAGCGAAGCATCATGTGAACCCTGCAGTAGGGGTGGCCCACGCCTTTGCCTGAGGCCTAGTCGATGCCATACTTGTGGGCAGTGGCCTCCGAAGCAGCATAGTAATAGTACCCCTCAAGACTGGCTCAGTAGCTGGATCTGTACCACCAGGCACCAGGGACCGCCACTGCACAGTTGCCCTAGCTTGAATCATGGTCTCTGTCATAGGTGGTAAAAGCCTTCCCATTGTGGAAGCTCAGAGAGTCCCCTGCAGGGAGGAGTGGAGGAGTGGAGTATGCCAGGCACCCTTAAAGATAATACCCCAAGGCAGCCTCCAGTCAGTGATGAGGTAGACATTATCAGTCCCCATGAGACCCCGACAGCACCAAGGGACCAGTCTTGTTTGTTTTTCTATGGTCATTCAGCTAGTCCGTGGAACTGGGGCTTGAGCTCAGAACTATCTTGTTCCAAGCTCCAAATCTTATCCCCTCCAGAACTCACAGTTTCTCTCCACCCTCTTTGTCTCCTCTCAGCCCCAGTTAGCAGCCTGGGCAACCGTGTGCCAGGGAGAGCTGGGAGGAACCTCTTGGGCCTGGGCAGGAAAAGGGGCTCCCCAGAGGCACCTCCCCATAACCACTTCCCCCTTTCAGATATCTCCCAACACTCACTGCTTCTCTGAAAGAAGTCTCTCTGGTTCGTGCCTCCAGTACAGAATGTGGCTGCACATCAAAGCCTCAGCTGGAGGCCCTGCCCCCACACTGTGGCCCCACTCATGTTGTACAAGGGGAAACTGAGGCTGTGGCCGGGAAAGGACTTGCTCAGAGTCCCATAGTAAGACCCAGCTGCACACTGATGTTCTTCCCTAGAGCTTAATTCTTTCCTTCAGTCACCGTCTTGTTTCAAGATTGCCATTTCTCAGATGAGGAAACTGAGGTGCACAGAAGGGAAGAAGTCACCTAGCCTTATTCGTGTACGCAGGGAAAACGTTGAGAAACAGCCAGCCTCCCTGTTCCCCACTCCTCCAGGGGCCCCCTGCAGGCCACTCCCCTGCAGTGCCCTCTAAGAACTTGCCCAGCACCCACTGGTAGTACTTCTGAATATAGTTTAGCGGACAAAGGTACCAGTGCCTTTGAAGTCTTCCAGCTCTACCTGCCCTTCCTGGGCACCTGGGAGGAAGAGGAGGCTGGGATGGTAGGGATTTGGCCTTGCCCCGCCCTCTTGCTGGGAACTCACCCTCCAGAGTAAGCTAGTATAAATTCTCATTCTCCAGCCAGAACTCAGACTCCTGTCTCTCAAATCTGCTTTGTAGGAGGTCCAAGAGTGGAGGAAATCCACAGACCCATCCTGTCGTCCCCGGAACACCTGGGCAGTTTCTGTGCACGTGCTACAGCTCCAAACTGGTCTGGGGCAGGGGAAGCCAGGGGAGGTGGCAGTTGAGGCTGGGTGGATGGACACTTCTCTGCTCTTTGGATTGGGGGCTTATTGCTCAAATGTGTCACCTCCGAGTGACACATTTGAGCCTGTGAATGATGATAAACTCAATTCCTTCATTCACTTTTGTTGACACTCAACCCATGGCAAAATCTTGTAAGCCCCTGGGGAGATTGACATGATAAAAACACCATCCTCATCCCTGGGAGATGGCCAGTCCTTCAGGAAGTCAGGCAAAATAACCTGTTTAATTTGCTGTGATAAGAAGTGAGATATTTAAACGTTACCCACAGAAGCCTAAGCTGGCCTTTTCCTCTGCCTTTTCCTCTGCCTTTTCTTCCTCCCCCAAGCCAAACAGTCCTCCAGCCCGAAGAGTCCCCTCTTAACTACCTTCCAGATGACGTGCGTCCGATTCCATTGATGGCGCTTTCACTGTCTTCTGCCTCGTCCATTGAATCTTCTGTGGTACAGCCTGGTTTTTGTTTTGTTTTAAATTAAAATATTATCTGTTTGGGGAGAGAAAGGAAATGTGTGTGTGCGCGCGTGCGTGTGTGTGTGTGTGTGTGTGTGTGTGTGTGTGTGTGTGTGTGTGTGTGTGTGGTATATGTATACATGTGAGTTCGGTTGGTATGTGTTTAGGGGAGAGACTCTGTGTGTGTGTGTGTGTGTGTGTGTGTGTGTGTGTGTGTGTGTGTTATATGTATACATGTGAGTTCGGTTGGTATGTGTTTAGGGGAGAGACTGTGTGTGTATGAGTGTGTGTGTATATGTGTGAGAGTGCAGGTGCCCTAGAAGAGCATGTCAGATCCCCTGGAGCTGGAATTCAGGCAGATGAGCCGCCCAGTGTGGGCCCTCTGCCCGGTCAGGGCTCTCTTCTAGCCATCTCTCCAGTCCCATGCTGCCCACCATGGGCCTCTAACTCCAGATACTCCGAGTATTAGGATTACAGGCATGCACTACCATACCTACATCTGACTTATCTTTCTTTTTTCTTTTTTCTTTTTCTTTTCTTTTTTTTCTGAGACACGGTTTCTTTGTGCAACAGTCCTGGCTGTCCTGGCACTCACTTTGTAGCCCAGGCTGGCCTCGAACTCACAGAGATCCACCTGTCTCTGCCTCCCAAGTGCTGGGATTAAGGTCTTTCTAAAACTAAGTCTGACCTGGCCTCTTTTCTGCCTAAACTTCCTGCATGGCTTCCCCATTGCCCTCCAGATCAGTAATGCAATGTCCTCTGTGAACTGGCCTCTGTAAAGGTCCTGGCTGCATATTGATCTGCTGCTAAACACCGCCCTCCCAACACCCTCAGCTTACTCCCATGACTCCTTAGCCCTTCCATTCTCCCACTTTCCTGAGTTTATCTTTGCTTCTACTTGTAAAGTGCTCCTGCACCTCGTGTGCCTAGAGAACTTCTACAGGGCCTTGAAGGTCCTTCTAAATGACACCTCCTCCATGAAGCCTTCTCAGACTTCTTCAGTCCCTGCAGGAGCTGGGCAAGCTCCTGTCTATGAAGTCTAGTAAGATATGCCTTGCTGCCGGGCGGTGGTGGCGCACGCCTTTAATCCCAGCACTCGGGAGGCAGAGCCAGGCGGATCTCTGTGAGTTCGAGGCCAGCCTGGGCTACCAAGTGAGTTCCAGGAAAAGGCGCAAAGCTACACAGAGAAACCCTGTCTCGAAAAACCAAAAAAAAAAAAAAAAAAAAAAAAAAAAAAAAAAGATATGCCTTGCTTCAGTAGACTTTGGCTCCCCCTAGGGAGACAGGGAGAGCAGTGACCACTGGGCTTTGCCTATGTCCTCTTTTCCTTACCAGCCAGCTACTCCCTGAAGTGTCCATATCTCAAAAGGCTGGGAGAGCTCTACCCCCTGGTAGACACAAATGGTACCAACCACTCAAGGTAGCACTGGGACTCAGCAGTTTCTGGCAGCTCTTGAGACCTGGGAAAAGGGAGAGAGATTGAAAAAGGCCCCAAGCTATTTCCCAAACTTCTCTACCTAGATTCTGGAACAAGTAAGGGACCCAGCAGCCCTCTCAGTTCCTGCGAGCTTCTGAAGAGGGGACTATGAAGAGACGTGAGGAGAGGCTCCACCACGCCTGGAGTCTTCCCAACACCCCAGCTTGGTCCGATTCCAAGTTCTTTGCTCCTGTAAAGGCCTCCTCACCCACCTGGCATCAGAGCAGGCCTGCTGATGTCCTGCCCAGAGAGAAAGAACTGGGTGTTGACTGTGAGGTCTGTGCACCTTCACCGAGGCTCCATGAGCCAGCAGTGAGGCAGAACCAGCCCTACTCCAAATTCTCACCATTCCCTCCAACACTTGCAGCCCTAAGTAGTGGAGAGGGCCCAGCCCTAGTCTGTGAACAAAGCAAAGTCTGAGGATAGCCTCAAGATCCCCAGGTTCCCCCTTGGGATCCATCTTGCCTGGTGGTCCAGGTCACCCTGAAATCTCAGAAGCAGATGTCCTAAGTCCTGCCCCATGCTCAGGACAAAACAAAAACAAAAACAAAAACAAACAAACAAACAAAACCAGGATTCGGTGCCCCGATCCTATCCTCACCCTTTTCTGGCTCTCTAATTGGTGGCAAGAAGTTGGTCCTTTCTGAGCCTCACTATCCTCTGCAGGAAAGCATGGGCAGTGTGACCTGCCTGGCACACCCCGGGATCCTGGGCACACACCCATTTGCAGCCTGGCACAGAGGAGGCTCCTGCTTCCCTGTTGCGGCTGCTCAACCCAGACAGCCCCTGCTGCACTCCAGTGTCTTTTTTTTTTTTTTTTTTTTTAAAGATTTATTTATTTATTACATATACAGTGTTCTGCCTGCATGTATGCCTGCAGGTCAGAAGAGGGCGCCAGATCTCATTACAGATGGTTGTGAGCCACCATGTGGGTGCTGGGAACTGAACTCAGGACCTCTGGAAGAGCAGTCAGTTCTCCTAACCTCTGAGCCATCTCTCCAGCCCCGCACTCCAGTGTCTTAGTCAGCGGTCTACTGCTGTGAGGAGACACCGTGACCACGTCAGCTCTTACAGAGAAAGCCTTTAACCGGGGCCTGGCTTACCATTTCACAGGTTTAGTCCATCATCACCATTGTGGAGAGGATGGTGGCGTACAGGCAGAAGAAGTAGTTGAGAGCTATTTCCTGATCTGCAGGCAGAGAGAGAGATAGAGAGACAGAGAGACAGAGACAGACAGACAGACAGACAGACAGAAAGATTGAGCCTGGCTGGCATGGGCTTTTGCAACCTTAAAGCCTTCCCTCAGTGACAAGGCCACACCTCCTAATCCCTCTCAAATAGTGCCACTTCCCCATGACCAAGCATTAACTATATGAGCCTATGGGGGCCGTTCTTACTCAAACCACCACACCCAGCCACAGGCTGCCCCAGCCAGGTCCTTAGCGTCCCTTACCTTGGGGACCTGTAGTTTCCTTCTCCCCAGGACTTCCTGGGACTCCCGGACGACTGCTTGGGAAGACAGTTTTGAAGGCTTCCAGTTCCCTGGGTTCTGCATGGAGACACAGGGCAGTGGGCACAGGGTGGACATGTCTCCTCCAGACTCCTCTGCAATTCCTTCTGCCTCCCAGACTCTAGACGTTAGGGTATCTGCTTCCTGAGATGATAAGGTTTTGCAGTATTTGCATCCTATTTACAGATATTTGCGTGAGCAGCCCAGATTATCAAGCTCTTACCTTTTTTGGGATGAGGGAAGAATGAAGAGTGGGTTGATGTGGAGAGCCACCTTTCAGCTCCCTGGGCAGCTAGGGTGAGCCTGGGCCCTCAAGCAGACAGCCCTTCAAACAGGCGAGCAGGAACAGTCGGGCCCAAAGTAGGTCCATGTTGCTGGGGCCACCAGTGGGAGGGCACCAGCTTAGAAGGACCAGGCCGTGAGGGTGGTAACTTGAAGCAAGACTTCTTCCCATTGTCCCCCAGGGACACCCCACCCAGACTGGAGCCAGCAGGGTTTTCCTCCCTCGGGCCCCAGAGAATTGATATTGCCTCTGCCTGTTCACCCTCACATCCAGGGCTCAGCAGCCATCTCTCCAGACCTCATCACTCACCCCTGTGGATTCTCCCCTCTCCTGCCCGCCCCTACCTCCCCCATCCCACCACACACACACACACACACACACACACACACACACACACACACACACCAGTCACTCAGCATTCACACCTTCTAGGTAGAATTTCTCCTTTATTCTCCACCTGTGGGGCTCTGCTCTCTGTGAAGGTCCAGCCCTGTTGCTGTCTCCACCTCCCGTCCTTGCCAACAATATTAATAGTGGCCATTGCCACCTTGTATGGGTCACCTGTTACACTCAGGTGTCACTCTTAGTCACCTGCCGGTGTTCACTAGTGCATATGGAGGTCAGAGGTCAGTGCTGGGTGTCTTCCTCACTTTCTACCTTATTGAGAAAATATTTTATTCATTTTATTTTATTAATTTATTTGAGACGGGGTCTCTATTATGTAGCCCTGGCTATCCTGGAACTCGCTATATAGATGAGACTGGCCTTGAACTCACAGAGATCTGCCTGCCTCTGCCCTCTGAGTGCTGGGATTAAAGGGGTGCTCTATGCCAGGGCCAGGCACACTTGCCTTCTATGTGGGAGCAGAGAGAGGGTCTGAAATGCTCACACAGCAAGCATCTTACTGACTTACTCATTTCCCCAGACTCCAGTTCCCTACCATTGGTCCTGCTACAAAGTAGGCACCTAAGAAACCATAGTTCCAGGACAGGCACCAGAAGTACATGGGAAACCCTGTCCCAAAAAGAAAAGAAAAGAAAAAAGAGGCTCATGCCAGGCATGGTGATGTAAGCCTTTAATGCCAGCACTGGTGAGGCAGAGGCTGGCAGATCTCTGTGAATTTCAGGCCAGTCTGGTTTACCAAGTGAGTTCTAGGCCAAGGCCAGCCATGGCTACGTAGAGAAACCCTGTCTCAAAAACAAAACAAAAACACGGAGCTCAGAGATGAGCCACGCTTTTGCTGTACCACCCTTACCTGTCCAAAGCCACAGAACATTCAGCCAATCCCTGTACAACAACCCCCACCCCAGCCAGAGAAAGAAGCACCCTTAGGGAAGTGCCCTGACCGCTTGTTCCGTTTTGAATTCCTTGGAGCCTTGGAAACATCTGTTAGCATAGGCAAATCAGTGGGGGTCAGGGTGCCTAGAGGCAGGAGGCTTGGCCCAGCTGTGAGAGGTAAGGACTGAGCTGAAGAAGAGCATGATGTGATGGGGGAGAAGGGAGGGGATGAGATCACCCATTCAGCAAACCCTCTGAGGGCCTGTCCTTTGTCAGGCCCAGTGTGGGTGGAGTGGGGATGGCTGAGGTACAATGAGGTGTCAGGGAAAGCAAAGTCTGTTTGTCTGTGGCATGGATGGGTCGCTGAGAAGGATGCCCTGAGCTTCTCCAGTTCCACCTCAAGGGATCTGTCTTATACGAGCCTACAGCAATGCCAGGCTTTGCACACGGGCCTGTACATGACTACTTATGAGTCAATATGGAAATAACCCCAGCAGTCATTGATAGGATCCAGGCAAATAAATTATGACCATCTGGACAAGTCACAGGATGCATCTGATCTGTAAGGAAGCAGTGACTGCAGAACAGCATGGACCCACTTTGTGCTATAAAAGAGATAAACATGCGTACAGAGGTTGTAAATTCACGGAGAACTGCTGTCTGAAATACACCGGTAACTGCAGCTATCTCCGGGAGCGGCCAAGGGAAGGAGTGCTTGTCACTCTTTGTCTTATTTTTCAATTGTAATAAACACCATGACCAGGGCAACTTATAAAAGGAAGCGTTTAACTTGAGGGTTCATGGTTCCACAGGGTTCGAGCCCGTGATCACCATGGCAGGGAGCACGGCAGCGTGCACATGGGCGTTGTGCTCAGCAGTAGCCGAGAGCTCACAGCTGATCCTCTGGTCGGAGACAGAGAGCAGGAGCTAACTGAGAACAGCCTGGGCTTTTGCAACCTCAAAGCCCACCCTCAGTGACGTGCTTCTTCCAACAAGGCCACCCTTCCTAATCCGTCCCAGACAGTTCCAGCGACAGACCCGGCCTTCAAGTATATGAGCCTGTGGGGACCATTCTTATTCAAACCTCCTTTCATTACTTTGTTTTGTTTTTGAGACAGAGTTTTTAAGGCTGGCCTTAAACTCTCGGCATCTTCTCCCCCAGCCTCTGGAGAACTATGAGTACAGGTGTGCACCACACCTGGCTTTATTTTTACATTTCTTTCTTTATCTGAGTGTATGTGTGCCATATTACATGTGTGGAAGTTGAGGGCAACCATGTAGGAATTGAACTCAGGCTTTTTTTTTTTTTTTTTTTTTTTTGTTTATTCGAGACAGGGTTTCTCTGTGTAGCTTTGCGCCTTTCCTGGAACTCGCTCTGTAGACCAGGCTGGCCTCGGACTCATAGAGATCCGCCTGGCTCTGCCTCCCGAGTGCTGGGATTAAAGGCGTGTGCCACCACCGCCCGGCTGAAATCAGGCTTTTACCTTCTGAGCCATCTTACTGGTCCCTACTTATTTACCACTATTACTATTTTTACCTATTTATGGGACAAGGTTTCATGTAGCCAAGGCTGGAGTTGAACTCCTGATCTTCTGCCTGTATCACAGATGCAAACCACACATAGCCCCACCTCCCACTGAGGCATGTTATTTGGGATTCTCCTCACTGTGTGTTTCCCGTCTTGCCTCTCCATGGTCCGTGGTGACAGCGGAAGGTGTCAGTACAACGAAACCGGATGGATGGATGGATGGAAGCAGATTCTCCTTCCTCTTTTCCATGCTTACAAGCTGTGCATCGGGCCTGGGGCTGATCCCTCCATCCTGTCTAATCTACCTGTATGATTGACAACGGTGTTCCCAGCTCTGTGGCCATCCGTGATTTCAAATTTGCCAAGGTAGCCATGCTTCATTACCACAGTTAGAGACCAGATGGTGACCTCGGAGCATGGCCTCAGAAGGATCTCCAGCCTTGTGGACCACCTCCGGGCACAGCCGGGGCATTCGGATGTGTCATCATGGCTGCTTGGAAAGATGGGGGAAGGAGCTGGCTCCAACACTTCTTTCTTTAAGATTTTATTTTGTTTGTTTTGTTGTTGTTGTTTTGTTTGTTTTGACAGGGTTTCTTGTGTAACAGCTCTGGCTGTCCTTGAACTCACAGAGATCCACCTGCCTTCCGAGTGCTGGGACCACCGCCCTGCTGTCCTGGAACTCATTCTCTACTTTTTTTTTTTTTTTTTTTTTTTGGTTTTTTCGAGACAGGGTTTCTCTGTGTAGCTTTGCGCCTTTTCCTGGAACTCACTTGGTAGCCCAGGTTGGCCTCGAACTCACAGAGATCCGCCTGGCTCTGCCTCCCGAGTGCTGGGATTAAAGGCGTGCGCCACCACCGCCCGGCTTCATTCTCTACTTTCAAAGGAAAAGACAGAATTTGATGAAGGAGGCAGACACAGAAAAGCAATCAAGCAGAGAGAGCTGAGGGAAGGGCAGTATGTCAGGAGGAACCACAGATGCAAAGGCTTAGAGAAAAGAAGAAAGCAAGGTGGCTGGAAACCGGGGACGCAGGGAGCTAAAGGAGGCTGGTGTCTGAATGGATAGATGTGGGCCTTGCATGGCCGCAGAGGAAGGAGAGCACTAAGGAAGGGACCCACGTGTGGCTGGTGATGTCGTATGTGAGCAGGTGAGCCCCAAGGCCAAGGAGTAGCTGGAACTACCTGTAGATCCCAGGTTCCCGTGAGGCTCTTCAGCTGCAGCCAGAGACCCCCTTGGGAACACGGGTGTTGAGTGCTCTGGAGAAGAATGAATCACAATCCGCCTGCTCTGAGCCTTTCCACATCCAACCAAGATGTTGTCCCACTTTACAGGTAAGAAAATGTGGCCCAGAGTTGTGAAATTCCTAGAGTTGGCATTAGCGGAGCTCACAACCTCCTAGCACAGCTGGAACAGAATATTCGAGATAAGACCCCAACACAGGCCTGGAAGCAAGTACAGTGCCAGGATTGTCTTCTGCCTGCCAGAGAGTCCCAGAGTGCTACTACCCCCACCCTCACCCCCACCCCACGCCCTCAGCTTTGGAGCTTAATTTTAGGGACAGAGAGTGGCAGAAGCTTCCAGAAGGGAATCCTGGTGTTCTGTTCACCCTAGAGTCAGAAATCTTAGACTCCAACCCCAGCTCAGTCTCTCCAGGGTTGCCATCATCCAGGGGTGCCATCATCCAGGGGTGCCGTCATGAGTGAGCACAGTTACCTGGCTGGTGGCCGTACTCTTTCTAGAAGAGGGTCAGTCACCACAGAGGGCTGGGGAGGTGACTCGGTAAGAGCCACTGATGTGCAAACACGAGTTCCTGAATTTGAACGCCCAGCACCCATGTAAAGAAGCAGGAATGCATGGGTTACCCCAGCACTAGATCAGGGGCATGCAGACAGACAGGCAGGTTCCAGCTGTCTGGCCAACCAGCTAGACAAAATGTCAAGCTTCCAGTTCAGTGAGAGACCCCCGCCTCACAACAATAAGAGGAAAAACAATAAAAGGAGACACCCAACCTCCTTCTTTGGCTTCGGCACGCTCACACAAGGGTGTGTGTTCTTGCGTAGTCACATACACCACACACAGATACACTATACACACATATGTGCTACACACACACACCACACAGATACACTACACACACATACATATGTTACACACACCACACAGATACAACTGCACACACACACACACACACACACACACACACACACACACACATAAAAATTAAATTAACCTGAGAAAAAAAATATCCCAGATGAAATTCCCTTTTGTTGTGATGATTTGACTTTTTGAGATGGGTCTCATGTGATTCAGACTGGCCTTGCATTCATTTGCTTACATTCTCACTCTAATCAGTGATGACCTTGAACTCCTGGTCCTCCTAATTCTATCTACCAAATGCTGAGGTGACAGGTATGCATCACAATGCCTGACTTGAAAATAAAAAATTTTGAGGCCTTATATAGCCAAAGCTATTCTAGAACTTACTATGTAGCTGTCACTGGCCTTGAACTCCTGACCCTGAGTGCTGGATACACACCACCACACCTGACTCCCAGTTCCTAGCTTGGAAATACCTTTAAAAAATGTGTCTTTAGCTGAGCGGTGGTGGCGCACATCTTTAATCCCAGCACTGGAGAGGCAAGCAGATCTCTGAGTTCAAGGCCAGCCTGGTCTACAGAGCAAGTTCCAGGACAGCCATAGCTATTACATAGAGAAACCCTGTCTCAAAAAAAACCACAAAAACCAAAACAAAACAAAAGAACAGTGCATGATCTTAACTGCAGAGCCATCTTCCCAATCCCTAAAATGTTTTAATTTAAATATTTTTAGTATCTATTTGTGGGTGGCAGGCACATGCCACAGCGCATGTGTAGCAGTCAGAGGACAACCTGCAGGAGCCAGTTCTCTCCTTCTATCAGGTGGGCTCTGGGGATCGAACTCAGCTTGTCAGGATTGCACGGTAAGCCCCTCTACCCACTGTGCCATCTTGCTGCCCTCCCACAGCTTGAAAATATCTTACAGGCAGACAACAGTACTAGACAGAAATCCCTCCCTCACCCCATCCAATTCACAGACAGCCCAAGACATCGGCCAGGCATCATGGGGTGGAAACAGGTCCTTTATTTGGGGGTAGACCCCAGACTGGGTTGGTGAGAAGCAGCAGCAGACCTCAAGTGCCAGGCTGGGGGCTCAGCTGGCTGGATGAAACATGAGGTGGATGAAGGATGCTCTCAGCTACAGGTGCCAGGCCCAGGACAGGAAAGAATGTCAGCCATCAGCGCTAAGCCTGCTTGGTGTCCTGTGCCTACGGGGGCCAGAAACGGGTGGCCAAAGTGTGTCCCACCCCCAGTGCTCATAAGGCAATCAAGAGGGTGGCCTCTGAGTCCTCTGTCCCTTCGAGGTGGAGCCAGGACCACTGGGGTCAGATTCTGTGGAGGCCAGACAGAGACAACACTCAGGGGTGAGGATCCCCTCCCCCCACTTTCCAGAGATCAGGCACAGCTGGAAGAATCAACATTTTAATGCAGGCTGCACACCTGGCCCCACAGCACACAGAACAGGCACACCAAAGCCTCGCCCAGCCCCTTCCTCAGAGAAAACCACACTGGACACACGGCCCTGGCTGCTGCCCACAGCGGCAGTGGACTGAGGACTGGCCTGGGGGCTGACACCTACTGGTTCTCTTCCCTGCTGGCAGCATGAGGAGACAAAGACACAAAGGCTCAGCTGGACCCTCAGACACTGAACTCTGAGGGCTGAGTCCCGGTCCCACCCAACATCTGGCAGGGGCAACCTCAGCTAGACAGAGGAGGGGTATTGTTCCCAAGGGGGATGTTGGGAGAGTAGGCATTGTCTTTAGGACCATCCCATAGAGACAGGTTGCCAGGTTGCCAGGCAGGAGGGAGTAGGGGAGGCAGCTGGCCCCCGTTGCTGGCCCCTGCAGCTGGCTGGCCGTGTACTCACAGTGTCTGGTAAGTGCTGTCCTTGGCCTTGAGGAAGCGCAGTATAAAGAAGGCTGTTGCTTGCAGACTCAGCACCAGCACAATGCCCCCGATGAAGCTGGCTCCGTCAAAACCCGGGCTGTGGGCTTCAGGGACGGGGGGACTCCCTGTAGGGTGGAGGTTACAACAGGCCTCTGTGGACCCGGATCCCACACCTGACACCTTGAGGCTTCCTTCAGCCCTCAAGATGGGGCCCATACTACCAGGCTCCGAAGTCCAGTTGAAGGCTGAGGATGGCGCTCAGGGATGGAGCGCTTGCCTAGCTTGTCTAGTGAGGCCTTGAGTTCGATCCCTGCATGCATGCACACACACACACACACACACACACACACACACACACACACACACACAGAGTGGGGAGGTGAGTCCATCTCAGGCTCTTCAAATCCCACAAGCTGGTGGAAGGGAGAGTTGAGGCTGGGATGGGTGGACCTTGTCCAGCTCTGTTCCTGAGTTGCTCCATCGCTTTATGTCACCCACACCCTCTCTGGGCCCCCTGGTCACATGGGGCCAACAGTGACCAAGGTCCTCTGCATCCTTGCTGTCCCTCACTAGCCTAGTAGAGGAAGGATGGACCTGGAACTCAGCCACCAGCCCTCCTTACGGCTCAGGGCACAGGCCTGGAGCACAGATGAACCCTCACAGTGCTTGAGGCCTTCTAAGCCTGGAGTCCTCACCAAGAGGGGGAGGAGCAAAGGATAAGGGGAGTCCCAGGACCAGCACCCTAGTGAGGGGACAAGTGAAGACTAAACACAAGGCCAGACCGGGCTGTCACCTCCCAGTGACCCTTTCCTCTGCCCTTTGCCCTTCCCTGGGAAGGCCTGAGCACTGAGTTACTTACTGGTCCAGGCTTTGGTGGCTACCAGCTGGACCACATTACCCATCAATTCCAACCAGGGATTTGATTTCAGGCCCTGGGCCAGGTGCCCAGGGCAGGAAAACACTGGTAAGTAGACGATCATTCTGGGACAATGGACAAGGGGCCCAACTGGGAACAGGGTCTCCTTCCCAGAGGCCATGGACAGTGCAGAACCTAAGGACACGAAGTGGGAAGGGGGCGGCTCTGCTGTGGCTGAAGCTGAGGGCTGCAGAGAAGGACGCTGGGGGAAGCGGACAGACAGGGAAGAAGTGAGCTGGGCATGGCAGATCTGGGGCTCAAGCCGAGGGAGCCGAGCCATCAATAATTAATTCTTTAAGATCAGTTGCCGGCTTTAATTAATCAAGAGCCTCTTCAGCCATCCTGGCTAAGTTTAGTGACCTCTAGGCCTCGGAGCGGGAGTGGGGACCTAGAGGCAGATGGGGTTCCTCCCCTGCTCTGCTGGGAACCCACTTTGGGGCCCTCAGCTTGCTGCAGGTGGTCACTGAGGGCATCTCTTAGCAACTGGAGCCACACCTCCTCAGCTCCAAGCAGGGATCTGGAGGGGTCACCCTGAGTTCCCAGAACGGGTGACGGAAACTGTCATTTCCCAACTGCTTTTGATGCTGATGCAACAGACCGTGAAGTGGGCCTCACACGGTCTCATAAATCCTCATGGCTCTGTGAGGCAAGTACCGTCCAACCCATCTCACGGGTGCCGAGAACTCAGAGGACCGAGGTCACGGAGGAGCATGTCAGGGCCTGTGCCCCACGCTGCCGTTTCCTTCTGCCACAGTCCAACCCCCTCCCCCCGGGGAGGACCCTACCTGTTGTGCTGGTCTTCGGTTCATGGGTGGGGTGGTGGTGGGAAGCTGAGGAGACAGGGAATCCACGATGAGACAGCTCTCCCTCTGACCAGGATCCCTAGCCTGGGTCAGTCGCTGGATCCCACTCAGACGGCACCCCCACCCCATTCAAGCCTGGTCAGCCAGTCTCCTCCCCCAGCTGCGCTCCATCTCCGATGCCACCTGCTTCAGGAGGATTCCTCCATTCCAAAGACCTCACTGCGCCTCACTTCACACAGTGCTAGCTCCCCCAGCCCCTGGGCACACCTGGACCAATGTGATAGGCTAGGGCACCAGCCAGGCCAAGGTACAACTGCTTGTGGACAAGGCCCCACCTGTCCGTGGGTGCAGTCCACTCCCCGAGAGAAGTTGGTACCTCCTGGAAGCAGGCAGTGGCTGCTGACCCCTCACTCCCCTCCCTTCATGTAGATTTAGAGTTAAACTCCCTTACCTGGGCATGACTCTGAACGGTTATAGACAGAGCAACCCTCCTTGACCACCTCAGCTTGGGCGACACAATGTCCTGGTGGGAGAAGCAGCAGGGAAGAGGTGTGGGGAGAAAGCTGGGGTGGGGTGGTGGGGATGGACTCGGGGAGGGCTCGGCTACAGACCTGGCTCCTCTGGCCCACATCGCTGCCAGACGCAAATGGAGAGGTTGTGGGCTCTGTCCACACAGCGTTCACAGTGTCCCAGGTGTTTGCAGCCCCCTTGGGCAGTAGGCCAGATGTTCAGGCGGATCAAGGCTGCCCGCCCAAAGCCTCGCGCTCCTTTACCTGGGAGTGGGGGTTGGAAAACAGCAAAGTGCCAGGTACCTTGCACTGCACACCTCCCCGACTATGGCGTCTCTCACCCCTCCGCACGGGCCTGGAGCTCCCCTAGCCTTACCCACCCCTCCACCCCCAGAACTTCTTCCTTTACATACTCCTGAAGTTCCCAGGGGCATTTGGAGTCACCCGCTCCACCTATCCACCTAAGTCTCCTAGTCCCCCCCACCTAGAACCCATAAATAAGCACTATGGTCTTAACACAGCCCTGGAGCCCTGAAGACGATGAAAAGGTCCCCCCCCACCCCCCACCCCCAAGCCTAGACGTGCGGGAACTGGAAGCTAAAGTGAAGTACACCTGCCCCTGCCTTGCCCCCTAATCAGGTCCTGCCCAGCGTTACCAGCTATAACCAGCTGGGCACACAGGAGGAGGCAACAGCAACCGCCGCAGAGAGCTGCGCGCAAGGCGCGGGGTCCGCCGGGTGCGGTCATGGGCGCGGGGGCCGGGATTGGGGGTCGGCGGACAGCTGGGGTGGCGCGTCCTTTCTTGACTCCACTCGCGGAGCTTGCCAGAGGGAGACCTGGGCAACGGGGGCGTGGCCACACAGGGGCGTGGCTGGTGGGTGTGGCCGGTGGGAGGGTCCAGGGAGAGCTTGGCCAGAGAAGAGGGGGCCAGAGGGAGGCGTGGCTGTGTTCGGCGGTTTGGGGCGGGGTTGGACCAAAGGGATGGGGCTCCGCCGGGTCACCGAGGGCAGCCGGGCGATGGTGGTACACGAGTTTAATCCATCAGCGCTCAGGAAGCAGAGGCAAGAGAATCTCTATGAGTTCGAGGCTAGCCTGGTCTACAGAGTGAGTTCCAGGACAGCTAGAGCTACAATAAAAGGCTGTGAGCCTCCTCCATGTGTGGGTGCTGGAGATCGAACCTGGGACCTCAGGAAAGGCAACCACTGCTCTTAACCACTGAGCCATCTCTCCAGCCTCCAGTAACCCTTCTTACCAACAAGATGTAAAATATATTCTAATCAGAGTCAGTCAGCTAATGTCCACAGCTGCTCCACGGCATGGGCTGTGCCATGTTCAGCCTGCAGCTTCTCAGGGGAAGTTATAACTCAGCTGGGCCTCCTGGGGGAGGGGGGTGTCCCTGTCTCCGGTGCACCTCCACCTGGGTGTCACTAGGCTTCTGTTTCCTGTCCTCCACACAGGAAAGCTCTAGCTTCTCTGTTCTTCTCACTGCCCCCCACCACCCAGGTTGGAGCTCACTTGGTTCTCACCCCTGCCCTCGCCCCCAGCTCAAATCCTCAGACCCCATCTCCCTGTCTCCTGGGCCCCACAGTCCCTCCCTGAGCGGGCCCTCACACAGATGTCCACATCTCTCTCAGTGACTTGTCAGCATGGCTTGCCCTCTACCTGGAACCCTTGAGCTCCTGCCTCTGGGTGTATCTTGCTTGTCTCAACCTTTCCCATCATGCCTCATTTCCATGATAGGAAGGCATTCTTCTTGCCTTTATCCCAGCTCTCTGCCCTTAGCTCCATCTGTCCAGCTATTACTCCTTTGAGCCACCACTGAAAATGATCCTTGGGAAAAAAAAAAAACCCACCCCAGGTCCTATTGCCCCCTCAGCCCCGCCAGCACCTTCCAGCTCCAGGCTCTCTCCATCACCCACTGGAGACTCTCCTGATGCATTCTGGGCTCAAGCCTACGCTCCCTTAGCTTCTGTGTTCATCCAGCCTCCTCTCTGGCCCTCATACTCTTCCCCTCCTGGGGGACTGTCCACTTGCTGTGCCCTGTCCTGGAAAGGCAAGCTCTTCTGTTCCCTCTTGAAGTGACTCATTTCCTAACCTCTCTGCTGAAAAGACCTCTCCTAATTATTCTACATGCCAGCACCTGCATTCCTTTGGAGCGCGTGTCCAATGCATAATTAACTGCCCATTTTTTTCCTGGTCTACACGCTCCACAATGGCAGGAGCCATGGCTTTCTTCTTCCCGGGTGAACCCCCTGCACACAGGATGAAGTAGATGCTGATTAGCTCTCCTGTCCTACTGTTCGTGTGCATGTGTGCCTGTGCATTGCTCTATGAGACCCTCAAGGACTTGATATCATAGACGACATCATAGTTGGCATCTCTTTGGGCGTTGTCTGTTTCTCTCTATTCTCTCTATTAAGATAGAAATTCCAGGAAGGAGGAATGTTTTCTGTTCACTGCGGTGTTTCTCTCCATGCCTGGCAAATAGCAGATACTCAATATAAATGAAAGTGGAACATGCAGGAGTGTGGCTTACGTATTGTTCTGTCCCCTACCTGACCCCGAGACCAGGCCACTGTTAGTAGAAATTGGTTGAATGAGGGCTGGAGACATGACTCCGAGGTCAAGTGTATGTGTTGATTTCCAGAGGGCCTGGGTTTGATTCCTAACACCGACAGTTCACGACCTTCAATAGCTCCACTTCCCGAGCATCTGATGCTCTCTTATGGCCTCAGAGGGTACCGGAAAAACAGTGGCACACAGACATACATGCAGACAAAAAACTATACACATAACATAAAAATAAAGAAATATTTAAAAAAGAACATTAATTCAATGACTGGATCCATACCCCACCCCACCCCAAAAAAATGTGCTAACTGTCCAGTCTCCTGAATTTTGGACAAAGTCAGAATGGAGACTAATTCTCTGTGCTTCTCATATATGCATGGACAGACACACATGTCCCTCTCTTTGGATGTAGGCCAAAGGTCCCCAGGCTGGCGGAGAAGACAGAAGTAAGGAAAGTTTTGCCTGGGGCTGGTGAGAGTAAGCTCCCGTGGTGGAGCACTTGTTCAGCATGCAGGAAGCCTGGGTTTGATCCCCTGCACCAAAAACGTAAACCCGTGTGTAGTGGTGCCTGCCTGTAATACCAGCACTCTGGAGGTGGAGGCATAAGATCAGAAGTTTTAAGTTTGTGGTCAGCCTTGGCTGCTTGAGACCCTGTCTCAAAGAAAAAAACAAAAAGTTTCACCTGGCCAGGGAAGCTCATAGCCATCTGGTGGCCACCTGAGGAACTGCAGGTTTGTCAGTGAGATGACTTCACTCAGCCCCTTGTTGGGAGAGGGTGCCATCTGTGCCAGAGTGGGAGGCACCCTGGGCGTGGCCACAGCTTTGAAGTCCAGTGCTACCACTCGCAGTGTGGATTGGGCAAGTCCTTCGGCTTCTATGAAGCGTGGGCTCTGTCCCTTCACTTTGTAGGGCTGGTGGTGGGGAAGCAGTAAGGAGATGGAGCAAGAAGGGCTTGTCCTTCCCCTGGAGAGAAGGTCTCAGGGAGGAGAGAGCACGTAAGAGCTGAGTTCAGCCGGGTGTGGTAGCTCACCTGTAATCCCAGCTAAGGAGGATTCCCACAAGTCTGAGACACACATGTGTATGCACATCGAATACACATGCACACACATGGGTGAGCATGTGCACAGACACAGACACACACACACACACACACACACACACACACACATACACACACAGAGTTTGGTGCCTGAGAGTGCACACATGTGAAAATCTATTGTCTCACTCCGTCTTTGAGTCTCCAAGTGCTCTCAGGTTAGACATACCCTCACACTTTCCCTCCCTGGCAGCCAGAAAGGCAATCCTCGCCATAAAGTACACAGTGACACGCAAATGAGGGAGTTCATGACCATCTGTTGGCTTCAGCAGAAACAAACGGAAGCTAATGTCTTCACCCTGGGATAACTGTCACTAAGAAATTTGAAGAAAACTAGCTCAAATGTCCAAGACCACACAGGATGTTATCTTCATAGTTAGATTCAGAACCTGTTTTGGTGCGGGATGTTGGGGCCACTGTATGTGTGTGGGGGGCACAGCTTGCTTGGGTGGAATTCATGGTTATCCTATAAAGAAAAATTAATCCAAATACAGATGGCAGGATATGGTCTGTATGAAGCAAAGATCTCAAGAAACTGCTGGGGTTGGGGATGGTGGGGGATGGGGTGGGTAGGATGGGGATGGGGAGACACAAGCCCTGGAGAAATGGCTCTGCAGTTATAAACAAACACTTGCTGCTCTTCTAAAGGACCCAACACCTCCTCCAGGCAGCTCACAACCACCTATAACTCCAGCTCCAAGGGATTTGATACTGTCTTCTGGCCTCTCTGAGTATCTACACATGCACTCAACCTAGAAACACACACATACACATCAATTAAAATAACTATCTTTTTGAGACGGGCTTTCTCTATGTAGGCCTGGCTGTTCTGGAACTCACTCTGTAGATCAGGCTGGCCTCGAACTCACAGAGATCCACCTGCCTCTGCCTTCCAAGTGCTGGGACCAAAAGTGTGTGCCACCCACCACCCAGCAGTAAAAATCTTTTTTAACAAAGAAAAGAAAATATTGTGCTGGAGAGATGACTCAGCAGTTAAGAGCACTTGCTGCTCTTCCAGAGGACCCGGGTTCAATTCCCACACCCACATGGCACCTCACAACTGTCTGTAACTCCAGTTCCAGGGGACCCAACAGCCTCACACAGACATACATGCAGGCTGAACCCCAATGGGAATGAAATACAAATAAGTTAAAATTTTTTTTTAATTTATGAAAAAGAGAAAGAAAACAGCTGTAGGGACAGGTGGACAGCACGGAGAAGTCAAAGGTCAGCGCTGAAGTGGCAAACAGGAGCATCTTTGAGGACTTGACTTGCAGAGATAGGACAGTTTGTTTTTATTTGGGTATGGGTCTCATGTAGTCCAGGCTGGCTTCATAGCTCAGGATGACCTCAAACTCCTGATCCTTTACCTCCCAAGTACTGAGGTTACAGGCGTGTGCCCCCGTACCTGGTGACTAGTTCTCACCAGCGCATCGGTGAACTGCAAACCAGCTGCTCACGAGGGCAAGTGTCCCTCAGATGCCACTTTCGTCCACCACCACCTTCGCACCTTGTTCCACCCCCTTCTCTGAAAGCCTAGCAGAGGAGGGACAGGGACAGGATTAATTGGTCATCTGTGACAGAGGTCAGGAAGCCTGTTTGGGAAGAAGTGGTTAAGAGCAGTGCTCTGGGGAGAGCAAAAGGGTTTCATACACAGGAACAGCCCATGCAAAGAGCTTGCAACAGGAGAGTCTCATCTACCTGGCCCCTCAAAGCAGAGCTTCCTGTCGCTCTTCATTTCTTTTTCTTTCTTTCTTTCTTTCAATTTAATTAATTAATTGGTTTATTTTTACACTTTTCATTCTCTTAGTGCTCACCTATGCTTCCCCGCTGTCCTCCACTGGCCAAACATACCATTGACAGCCAGTACATAGAGAGCCAGTGCTGATAATGGGCCCAACGCCTCCTGACAGTCCCCAGTAGGCGCCAATATCACTATTTCAGAAATGAAAAACAAAACAAAAGAGGCTCAGAGAGCCTGAGAGACTCACTCCTCAAAGTCACACAGCCAGGAAATGGAGGGATATTAGGGTTCGAAGCTGGTCTACTCCTACCAGCTGAACTAACTACATCCGACCCAAAATGTGCCATTCCCTTCAGCCCTGGTTCCGTGGTATCTGTGAGGGTGTGTGATGTTATTCCCTGCCTCTTGGCCTTCCTTTCCTAAGCCTCAGACCCTAACTTGACTCCTGACTCCCATCACCCTCCTACAATCTTGAACATTCCAGAATTGGGGCAGGACTGGTTACTAGGGTCACAAGGTCACTGATGGGGCGTTTCCCTAGGGACGGGGCTGGCAAAGAAGTTTCCCCCCTGCTCCACCCCCTGGGCTACCTAAGCTGGGCGCTCAGAGAGGCTGCTCTGAGCATGGAGCTGCCCGGTCCTTCTGTTTCCAAGTTCTTCCCGGCTCCCTATCTCCTGCTGCTTCGGGGAAGTGACACCCCCCCCTCCCCATCCCCGCTCTGGTTTTCCAGATCCTTCAATAAATTATTCAGGTTTTGAAATCTTGCCAGGCGCACCCTCCCGTGCTGCGAGGACGCTATTGGGCCCACATCAGTGACGTCACCCAGCTCCTTATCCCAACCCCAGCATCACGAGACCTGTCCTGGCAGCAACTTACCTGCTGGGTCACCGTCCAGTCGTCAGACTTCCTACCCTCTCCCCTCACTCTGGGACCCACTCACAAGTCACTTGATCTTCATTCCGGGACCCCACAGTCCTCATTTAGCTCTGTCGCCTCAGTCCTTCAGCACTTGACAGGGTCACAGTGACCTGAAGTTCCTTCACCCGAACAGTCATCTCCAAAGCTTTGTCACCACCTCTGAGACCCTGGGGTCTCCGAGCTTCCTCATGCTGCAGTCACCCTGACACATCCCTGGCTGCCCTGAGGAGCCCTATCCCTCCCCCCACCGCCAACGTCCCCCAGCCACCGTCCTCCCAGATCTGTCACCACGCTCATATCGTCACAGCCACCCACCTCCCTACTCCCTCGTGCTCCTGTCACCGTCACCTCAGGGCCCTATCAGAGGCAAAGCCTGTCATCCTCACCGGGGACGCCCATTCAGCCCCATCACCTGTCTGGTGTCAGCCCATTTCTGACACCCGAGGGTGCTCGTCACCCCCGCAGACTATCCCGGTCCCTTGTCCTCTTCCCACATCCTCGGTGGCCTCCCTGAGCCTTTTGTGAGGCTCTCCCATTAGCGCCCCCCAAAGCCCCCCGACCCGCAGAGGGCGCAGCGTCAAGGACAGCGCGGGCCGGCTCTGGAGGGGGCGGGGCCGCGGCCACGGTCACTTTTTATGAATGGGGGAGCGGGCGGCGCGAGGCCTCATTACTATGCCGCGCAGCGCGCGCTGCGCTCCAGCGCGCCGCGCCCATTGGCCGACTGGGCTTCTGACGTCACCAAACCGGTGGCCGGGGGCGGGGCGGGGCGGAGTGACTCACGCCGCGTCTCCCGCGGCCGCGGGGGCTTCTTGGGGTCCGCGCACACCTTGCTCTGCCAGGACCTGAGTGGAGGCTCCCCGCGGCCCGGCCGCGCCCGGTCCTGAGCGGTGAGTAGCGGGGTCCTGCCGCAGGTACCCAGAGTCTGGGAGGACACGCAGGGTGCAGGGGCACCGGGAGGGTGGAAGGCTGCTTGCCGCTGCTCAGGGTCCGGAGGTCGTAGCTGGGATTCTGGATTAGCAGATTCTGCATTAGCATGCGCCTCCCCAAGTGTTCGGGTGCTGGAGCGGTGTGATGGGGTGACCCGGCGAAGGGTGAGCATTTCTGCCGGACCCGAGGCCCTGGAGGGACCGGCAGTCATCTGAGGTTGAGGTGGCAGGAGGCATCTGGGGAGGGCACCTGGGCTTCCCAAGCAGGGGGAGGTGTCTTATTTAGGGATTCAGCTATCCAAGGCAGGAGGCGGAGTCAGGCCCAAGATCCAGGTGTCCCGGCAGGAGGGGTCTGACTCAGGAATCCAGGCTTCCACCAGGGGGTGTCTGCTACGGAGACCCAGGGGTTAGGTGGAGAACGGGGGTCTGTCCGGAGACAGAAGTTTGGAAGAGAGTGTTGGGAAATGAGTTCCGAGGTGTTAGCCTAGGAATGTGGATTGGGGGCTGGCAAGGAGCTGCACCGGCTTTGCCTGGGGGCGGAGCCTGAGGCTGGCGGTGCTGCGAATCGTGAGGGGTCTGGGAGCTTCAGGAACCGAGTCATCATCTCCGATGGGAGGGAGCTGACTGCCCTCCTCCTTGACAGGATTCCCTCCCCTAGTCATGAGCCTTTTTAAGGCTCACCTTGAATCCTGTGGTTCCCCATTCACTTATGGTAAGCTTTGATCCACTTCTCTGACCACACGTGGCAAGGAGGTCTTTAATAGGAACAGAGAGGAAGGTGAAGAGACACAGGGAAGGAAGGATGGCCAGGAATAGAGGCCCCTGTTTTGAGGCCTGGGGGCATCAGAGGACAAAGCCTGGGGCAAGAGCTTCAGGACATGAATTGGGGAGCAGGGCCTTGGTACCCTACTTGTTATCCTGAGAGCTATCTCCTTCCTCCAAGGCCTCTTGTCAGGATACAGGCCTGCCAGAATCTCATAGGGCCTTTCTTCTACAGGTACCACGATGTGGGGTCCAGGCAGCTCCATGGCCTGGCTCTCAGCTGGCTCAGGCAGCGTGAATGTGAGCGGTGTGGACCCAGCAGAGGAACCCACCGGCCCAGCTACACTGCTGCCCTCTCCCAGGGCCTGGGATGTGGTGCTTTGCATCTCGGGCACCCTGGTGTCCTGTGAGAACGCACTGGTGGTGGCCATCATCGTGGGCACTCCCGCCTTCCGTGCCCCCATGTTCCTGCTGGTGGGCAGCTTAGCCATAGCAGACCTGCTGGCAGGCCTGGGCCTGGTCCTGTACTTTGCGGCTGTCTTCTGCGTTGGCTCACCAGAGATGAGGCTGGTGCTGGTTGGCGTGCTAGCAATGGCCTTTACTGCCAGCATCGGCAGCCTGCTGGCGATCACTGTTGATCGCTACCTTTCCTTGTACAACGCTCTCACCTATTACTCAGAGACAACAGTCACACGGACCTATGTGATGCTGGCCTTGGTGTGGGTGGGTGCCCTAGGCCTGGGGCTGGTTCCTGTGCTGGCCTGGAACTGCCAGGATGGCCTGACCACGTGTGGTGTGGTATACCCGCTCTCCAAGAACCATCTGGTGGTCCTGGCCATCGCCTTCTTCATGGTGTTTGGCATCATGCTGCAGCTCTATGCCCAGATCTGCCGCATTGTCTGCCGCCATGCCCAGCAGATTGCCCTCCAACGACACCTGCTGCCTGCCTCTCACTACGTGGCCACCCGCAAGGGCATCGCCACACTGGCCGTGGTGCTTGGCGCCTTCGCTGCCTGCTGGTTACCCTTCACTGTCTACTGCCTCCTGGGAGATGCCAACTCTCCATCCCTCTACACCTATCTCACCCTGCTCCCCGCCACCTACAACTCCATGATCAACCCCGTCATCTACGCCTTCCGCAACCAAGACGTGCAGAAGGTGCTGTGGGCCATCTGCTGCTGCTGTTCTACGTCCAAGATTCCATTCCGGTCCCGGTCCCCTAGTGACGTCTAGTGTCATCCCGGTGGTTCTGTGGCTTTGACGACTTCAGATCAGAATGTTAGGCCCACCGGGGCTTTAGTTCCAACCCCCCAGCTCCACACCCTTAAGACCCAGCTGGTTCTGGAGTTCGAAGACATTGGGTGTTTTAGGATCTTGTTCAAGATTCCTTCAGGGGCCCAGCCCAGCTGGATGCATGGTTCTAGAATGTTCCAGATGGTGGTTCCAAGTGGTTTGCAATTCCAGAATGCTGGGAATGTTACAGTATGATTCCAAGTCCTTGATCTTCCTTCCCTGAAACTTGACCTTGGCCATGTCACTTTAGCTTTGAAGCTCCAGAGTCAGAGAGGTTAAACACTTAGTTGCCTAGATGAAAGATTTATCACTATATATGTGAACATACAAAGAAAGTATATTTATTTATTTATTATGTATTTATTTATAAATTTACTTATGGGTGATAAGGGAAAAAAAAAGAGACCCACACTTTGAAATCTAGTCCGCACCAGGGTGTCCCCAGCCCCTTGTCCCCATTTCTGACCTCAGTTCCTGGAGGGGGGATGGAGAAAGAAAAAACACGTATTTTGTTATTTTTGCTTATTTTTTATCAGAGAGATCAAGAAACCAGAGCCTCCTCCCAGGCCCGCACTGCTCGGGTTTGCAGGAGGAACACACCAGCCTCTGGTTTTTTTTATTTTTTTAAGAAGCCATCACCTGAGTAACCGAGAACTCCTCTGCGCTGAGGCCCGGCTTCCCTCTGGTGGCCATTTGGGGGAATTGCAACCCGGCGAGGCAGTCGGGACTGTAAAACGTACCCCCATCTCCACTCCAGCCTGGCTTTCAGCGCCACAGCCATGGCCTGGGGGCCAGGCCTTACCCTGAGGTGCCCGAGAGGAGGCGGGGCAAGAGCCAATACCCCACCCCTCTGCCAATCGGGGTACGGTCCCCAGTGCATTCCTGTCCAGTCCCCAACCCTACTCAATAAAAAACATTTTTAATAAATATTGGTGTTTGTGCATTTGCATGGTGTGGAGTTGAGCCAGGAGAGCGAGACTCCCTAAGGAATCTGGGAAACTGGAGACCCAGAGTAGAGTGTGGCTGACACCACAAGATGCCAGTGCCCCTCGGACCAGACCCTGGATACTAGCTTGCAAGAACCTCAGCACCCAGAGACTCAGCATTCAGAACCAGGATATTAGACTCCTCATAGTTTGAGGATACCCACAGTCTGTCCACAGTAGCTAGTTCAGGGCTCAGGCATGCAGAACATGTTTCTAGCATGCAAATTCCCTTCACAGTAATAGCTTCCTTCCAACAGTGCTTCCTCTGGGCTAGGCATTGTGCTAAGGGTACTGCATATGCCTAACCAACATCCCCGCACAGATAATATTTTCTCCATTTTACATTCATGAGAAAACTGAAACTGAGGTCATATAGCTAGGAAATATAAGACAATATGCAGACCTGGAACATCTGTTTCCCAAATCTGTGTTCAGACCTCTGGGCGATGACTTCTCATTTCTGTCAGTTTTTTTTTTTCCCCTGACCCTGGGGCTTAGAACCTTCTGGACCTTACCTTATAACCTTAGGGCCAGTGGCCCACATTTGGGAGGTGGTCACATGGGGTCTGGTCACTGTGGAGCTGGTAAAGCTTCTCCATGTAACTGTGTAACTGGAGACTTGAACTTGGGGCTTAGGAAGGCAGGCCTGTACTCACCACAAGGGCAGAGACAGCTTCAGGGGAAGCTCTGGGCTGGTGTGGTACATGCCTGTTGTAACCCCTGTGTGGGCAAGCCAGAGGCCAGATGATCATGAGTACTAGGCTAGCTTCCGCGACACACTGAGTTCAATACCAGCTTGAGTTGTGTAGTGAGACTCTGTTTCAAAATACCTAAGGGCTGGAGAGAAAGCTCAGGGGTAGAGTTGCTGACAAGGCTCTGGATTTAATCCCTATCAACACACACACACACACACACACACACACACACACACACACACACACACACACACACAAATATAGGGAGGGTTGAAGAGACAGCTCAGCAGTTAAGAGCATTGGCTGCTTCTACAGAGGGCCTGAGTTCAATTCCCAACACCCACACCGTGGCTCACAGCCATCTGTAACTCCAGTTCCAGGGGATATGGCACCCTCTACTGGCTTCCACAGGCACCAGGCACAGATACACATGCAGACAAAACACCCATTCATTCACATAAAATGGAAAAACAAAGAAATAGAAGAGCAGCCAAGTGTGACAGTACACGTCTGTAATCCCAACACCTGGGGAGGGAGGGCAGGAAGATCTGGAGTTCAAGGCCAGCTGCAGCTCCTGGCAAGTTTGAGGCCAGTTACACAAGGCCCCATTTCAAAACAAACAAACAACAAAAAAAACCCCTAAATACATGAATAAGGAAGCTCTCACTAGTTCAGCCTGGCAGTCTGTAAAGTTGGCCAAAGCCTGAAGGAGTCATCACAGTATTTCTGGTCTAGCCTACATTTCTTTTCTTTTCTTTTTTTTAAGACTTATTTATTTATTAATACAGTGTTCTGTCTGCCTGTATGCCTGCAGGCCAGAAGAGGGCGCCAGATCTCATTACAGATGGTTGTGAGCCACCATGTGGTTGCTGGGAATTGAACTCAGGACCTCTGGAAGGGCAGTCAGTGCTCTTAACCTCTGAGCCATCTTTCCAGCCCCCTAGCCTACATTTCTATCATCACACAGATAGAAAAACCAAGGCCCCAAGCTGGGTGGTTGGTGGTGCATGTCTTTAATCCCAGCAGAGGCAGGTGGATCTCTATGAGTTCAAGGCTAGCCTGGTCTAAAGAGAGTTCCAGGACAGCCAGGGCTACACAGAGAAACCCTGTCTTGAAAAAGAAAGAAAGAAAGAAAGAAAGAAAGAAAGAAAGGAAGGAAGGAAGGAAGGAAGGAAGGAAGGAAGGAAGGAAGGAAGGAAGAAAGAAAGAAAGAAAGAAAGAAAGAAAGAAAGAAAGAAAGAAAGAAAGAAAGAAAGAAAGAAAGAAAGAAAGAAAGAAAAAAGAGGCCCCAAGCAGCTACTTATCTGTTCAAAATCAGTTGTGTTGGGCCTGCTGGGACACAGCTCCATTTCCATTTCTCAGGCTCCCATTCTTTTTCCTAGAGTTCAAGATTCCTCCCTAACAGAGACTACAGGAGTCCAAGACCCAAGGGAGGGATGCCTCCTGGCTCCAGCCTTGGCTGTGCTCTCACTCCCTCTTTTGGAAGGCCACCTGGATGAGATCTTCACTGCACACGCACCTGCTCCACGCACCTGCTCCACGCCAACCCAGAAGCCACACATTGCACATCCTAGCGTCACGGTACCATCCGTGGGGCAAATGCCCTACATCTGAGGAAGACGGATGCTGGATGCAGTGGTGCATCTATTCCCAGCACTGGAAGGTCAAAGCAGGAAGACCAGCCTCAGCTTTAGTGTGAGTTCAAGGCTAGCCTCAGCTTTAGTGTGAGTTCAAGGCTAGCCTCAGCTTTAGTGTGAGTTCAAGGCTAGCCTCAGCTTTAGTGTGAGTTCAAGGTCAGCCTCATCTTTATTGTGAGTTCAAGGCTAGCCCAGGCAACATCAGACCCCATTTCAAAAAAACAAAAAATGCAAGATGTGAGAGGAGGCTTCAAGAGTAAATTGAGCATGGTGGCACATGCCTGGAAATCCCAAAGTACCATGTAATCCCACTTACTGAGGCAGGAGGATTGCAAGTTCAAGGCTTCCCTGGGCTATAGAAACTCTGAGAGTAGTGGGCCATCACTATTACCGATGTTTTTGCAAATAGCTCAATGTCTAGTAGGGGAAATAGCAATAACAGAAAAGGTTTTCTTTGTCTCTTTCTTTCTCTTCTCTTCTTTTCTTTTTTTCAAGACAGGGTTTCTCTGCGTACCCCTGGCTGTCTGGAACTTGCTCTGTAGACCAGGCTGGCCTCAAACGCACAGAGATCCGCCTGCCTCTGCCTCCCGAGTGCAGGGATTAAAGACATTCACTACCACTCAGAAAAGGTTTTCAATAATTGCAGTTAGAGCTGAAGAGACGACTTAAGGAGTTAAGCAGGTAGGATGCTCTTACAAAGGAACTGAGCTAGCTGGGGGCATGAGGTGTACACCTTTAACCCCAGCTGTCTCCAAAGACCTAAAACAAAGAAACAACAAACAAAACACCAAAGGAATGAAGTTCATTCCTCAGGACCCACACCGGGCTGCTCTCAACTGCCCATAACTTGAGCTCCCTGGGATCCAACGCCCTCTTCTGGCTTCCACAGACACGTGCACTTCAACATACACATACTCATACACGGATACACATACATACAAATAATTAAAAATAAAATATTTTGCCGGGCAGTAGTGGTGCATGCCTTTAATCCCAGCACTTGGGAGGCAGAGGCAGTCGGATCTCTGTGAGTTCAAGGCCAGCCTGGGCTACCAAGTGAGTTCCAGGAAAGGCGCAAAGCTACACAGAGAAACTCTGTCTCGAAAAACCAAAATAAATAAGTAAATAAATAAATAAATAAATAAAATATTTTAAAATATAAAGTTTTTAAAAAACAAAACAAACAAACAAACAAAAACAACCCTGCAGTGTTAATGCCTGCATCCTCAAATAAAAATAAAATAGGGAAAGACAGAGAATATAAGAGTAATTGTAAGATAAAAGTGGACAAAAGAAAGGCCTTCCTGGAGGCTGGGGATGCATTTCAGTTAGTAGAGTCCTTGTCCAGCATGCACAATGAAGCCCTAGGTTTGATCTCCAGAACATGTGCTCATGTCTGTGTGTCTGGGGAGGGGTACTAAGCCTCCTAGCCATGCTGCCTCTGCCAGCTTTTTTACCCCACGCTTGATTCTAACACTAAATGGTGTGGTGATGCACACCTGTAATGGTAGGACCTGGAAGGTGGAGGCCAGAGAGAATCACCAAGTCATCCGCAGCTATAAGGGGAGTTCGAGGCCAGCCTGAGCTATGTGAAACTCTCTCTCTCTCTCTCAATTTATAAAAGAAAAGGAAGGCCTCCCAGAAAGGTCACATTTATTGTCAGTTGAGCTAGGATTTGAACCCAGGTCATAGCTGCCTCCAAATCGTTTAGGGAGTGAGTTTTGGGAATGTGTCAAAAGAAGCTGGCCAGGATGAGGGGCAGGCAAGCCTGTGCCCATGCTAGGGTGAAGCTTGGGTATCCAGGTTATGACTCACCCTCTGAAGAGGCACGGTGGGGATGTGCCCCCTGGCCTACTCCTGAGCATCCCTGGGGAGCCCCGACCCAGGTAGTTTCCTGTTCCAACTGGGTGTGGCTGGACCCTTTCCATCCTCATTCCAGCTACAGCTCTGGGGCCCACAGGGGAGTCTATCAACTGCCATGCTGTGTCCACGAGTCTGTGATGGACATCAGAGAGGTGCTTGCGCTGTCTGGGCTGCGTACAGTGTTCTGAGCCTGCATGTGGAGCCTCTGTGGTGTGTGTGTGTGTGTGTGTGTGTGTGTGTGTGTGTGTGTGTGTGTGTGTGTGTGGTGGGCTGGCAGGGTCTTCCTTTCTTTGGATTTTTTTTTAAATTTTTTTGCAGAGACAGGTCAGTCCCCCTGCAGCCCAGCAATTCTTCCCCAGGGAACCCCTTGTTGAGTACTGCTGGGCTTAGAAAAAGCTGTTTATACAACAAAGCCTCCACCTCCCCTGAGCCACAATGAGCAGAAAGGTAAAAGTCAGACCCGGGCTCCTGAAGGCACTACTACATCCTGTCTCCAACTGAGGGTCTCTGAAAGAAGGGACATGTCCCTTCAAACTGAAGGCTCATCACAGCAGATTTCTTTGTCTCCTCCTCAGAGCTAGAGGCTCCTGAAGACCAGGTCGTGACTCTCCTCAGACCAGGGGCTCAGCAAGCTGAGCTTCCCCTTAGGCAGAGGGCTTCTAAGAGTCCTTGAGAGCGGGGCTGGGGCTGACTCTCCCCTTCATACTGAGCCTCTTGTCTCTTGGCCCCCTCTGGTGCTCAGGCCTGGGCTGCTCAGCCT